TCCAGATTGGAGAGTGCCAAGTGAAGCGCATCTTAGTTGACCAGGGCAGCTCTTGTGACATCTGTATGTTAGGTGTTACAAGGAGCTTGGCCTTCACCAAGATGATCTGGAGCAGTCCAAATGGCCCAATGGTTAGGTTCAATGGAATGCTGACGTGGCCCTTGGGAGTAGCGAGTTTGGAGGTGCAGGCTGGCACCAAGAAGATAAAAACAGAGTTCCTAATCGACACCCCCTTCCCTTACAACGCTATCCTGGGAAGGCCATGGCTATATGCAATGGGGGTTGTTCCCTCAACATTGTATCAGCTATTGCGGTTCCCAACAAAGCATGGAATAGAGCAGGTCAGAGGGGATCAGGTGCAGGCAAAGAATTGCTCCATGGCAGCAATGAAATCTACCTACAACATACGAGAAGCAGAAACAGCAGAGATCGAGGACAAGGACGTGGAAGTCCTAGAGGACATCGGCAAAAAGCCAGCCGAAAAGAGTGAAGAAGCCTTGAAGAAAATCTTTGTCCAGCAAGGGGATGAAGGACGTTTCCTTCTCGGCTCAAGCTTGGCCGAGGAAGAGGAAAAAGAGCTAGAGACATTCCTGAGAGCAAACATTGAGGCGTTTTCCTGGACACCATACGAAATGCCTGGCATTGACCCCGAGGTCACTTGCCATAGACTAAATGTGGACAGGTCGGCCAAACCTGTAATCCAGCGAGCAAGGAGGCCGATGTTAATGCATATTGAGGCAGAAGAAGAGGAAGTGGGCAAACTTTTGGAGGCCAAAGTCATTCGAGAGGTAAACTACCCAACATGGCTATCAAACACGGTCGTCGTGAAGAAAAAGAATAGGAAATGGAGGGTTTGTGTGGACTTCACCAGCTTGAACAAGGCTTGTCCCAAAGACAGTTTCCCATTACCCAAGATTGACCAATTGGTGGATGCCACTTCAGGGCATGGAAGGATGAGCTTCCTGGATGCATACAGGAGGTACCATCAGATAGCCATGTACCCCTTAGATGAGGAAAAGATTGCATTTATCACCCTAAAAGGGCTGTATTGCTACAGAGTAATGCCTTTTGGATTGAAAAATGCAAGAGTAACTTACCAGAGGTTAGTGACTAAGATGTTCAGACATCTAATTGGCAGAACAGTGGAGGTATACATAGATAACATGGTCGTGAAGACCACAGAACCTAAGGATCATCTGGAAGACTTAAAGGTAGTTTTTGACATCCTTAAAACATACCGGCTCTAACTCAATGTATCGAAGTGTGTATTTGGAGTTGGGTCTAGTAAGTTCTTGGGATACTTGGTAACCAGAAGGGGCATTGAGGCAAGCCGAGATTAGATCAAAGCCATCTTAGAACTGAAGAGCCCAACATCGGCAAAACAAGTGCAGATATTGACTGGAAGAGCTACAGCCCTGAATAGATTCATAAGTAGAAGCTCTGATAAATGTAAGCCTTTATTCAGCTTAGTGAAGAAAGCCATAGACTTCTTATGGACCGAAGAGTGCGAAGTCGCCTTGGCCGACTTGAAGAAGTATTTGACTACAACTCCAGTTCTCTCAAATCCAGTACCTGGAGAGGAGCTGTTCTTATACTTGGCAGTTTCAGAGCATGCAGTAATAGTTAGAGAAGAAAATTGAGAGCAAAGGGCGGTTTACTGCGCGAGTAAAACCTTGGCAGATGCAGAGACCAGATACCTACCCTTGGAGAAGTTAACATTGGCTTTAGTAATGGCTTCCAAGAAGCTGAATCATTACTTTCAAGCCCACAAAATTGTGGTGTTAACTGAACACCCTTTAAAGTCCCTGTTGCAGCAGGGAGATCGAACAGACAGAATAGCCAGATGGGCAGTGACCTTGGGCCAATATGACCTGGAATTCAGATCTAGAACAGCAATCTAAGGCCAAGTCTTGGCCGACTTCGTGGCTGAGTTCACACCGGACGTCGTTATACATCAGGCTTTGTCGAGGCGAGGTATACGATGTCCAAGTGGACCAGGAGAAACCCAGCTGGGGATAATAAAGCAAAGGAAGGAAGAGAAACTCAGGCCCTGCAGCATTTACATCAACGACTCCTTTCGGTTGTTTGTTGATGGGAGTTGAAACCGACAAGGAGCGGGGGCAGGAGTAGTACTAGTATCGCTAGATAGGCAGATACTAGAACAATCCATTTGTTTGGGGTTTAAGGCCTCAAACAATGAAGCAGAGTATGAAGCACTGATTGCAGGATTAAAGCTGGCAGTAGCAATGGAAGTTGATGAGGTAATAGTCTTCTGTGACTCCGAGCTTATAGTCAACCAGGCAACAGGCGAATATGCAACCCGAGATGAAAGGATGTCGGCCTATGTAAAGGAGGTGGGCAGACTGGTAGCCTTATTTCAAAATTGTCGACTACAACAGGTTGGCCGAGATAACAGCAGCCATGCTGATGCTCTGGCCAACCTGGCTAGTGCAATGAAACCTGGAGAGACAAGAACGATAATGATTAACTACTTGTCAGGTCTAAGCATAGAACCACTGAACACAGAGCGTGAAGCAATGTGTGTGGAGATGGGACCAAGTTGGATGGATGCAATAATAGTATTCCTTAGAGATGGGAAACTTCCAGATGATCATAAAGAGGCGCACAAGAACAGGCTTAAGTCGGCAAGGTTCAGTTTGACAACAGAAAGACGACTCTATAGAAGATCTTTTACTGGACCCCTTTCTGAGGTATGTGCATCCTGCACAGGTTAAAGACTTTCTGTATGAGATACATGAATGAGTATGTGGAAGCCATGCTAGGGGCAGGTCACTTGCTCATAGGGCCATTACTCAGGGGTATTGGTGGGCTTACATGCAGAAAGATGCTGAAGCTTATGTCAAGAAGTGTGAGAAGTGCCAGAGATTTTCACCTTTGATACATCAACCAACAGCAGACTTGAACCCAGTATCCAGCCCTTGGCCATTTGCCCAATGGGGCATGGATCTTGTTGGACAACTGCCTCAAGCAACTAGACAAAAGAAGTACCTGCTGGTAGCAACAAATTACTTCACTAAGTGGGTAGAAGCTGAATCCCTTGCCAAGATTCGGGACATTGATGTGAAAAACTTCATATGGAACAACATCATCACCAGGTTTGGGATCCTAAGAGCAATAATAGCTGACAATGGTACACAGTTTGACAGTAAGCTAATCAAGAGCTTCTGTGCAAAGTACAAAATCAAGAATTATTACTCTACCCCAAGCTTTCCTCAGAGTAACAGTCAAGCAAAAGCCTCTAATAAGGTTATCTTGGATGAGCTCAAGAAAAGGTTAGAAGCTGCAAAGGGAAAGTGGGTGGAAGAGTTGCACAATGTACTTTGGGCATATCGGACTACGCTGAGAAGATTGACTGGGGAGTCCCCATTTGCCATGGCTTATGGCATATAAGTAGTCATTCCACTGGAGGTCAGCATCCCAAGGATCAGAACCCAAGGAGTAAAAAATGGGACCAATGAGGCATTCTTGGCCCGAGATTTGAATCTGCTAGAAGAAAGAAGGGAGAAGGCATCAATTCAACTGGGGGCATACCAACAGCAGCTTGTCAGGGTTTATAATAAGAAGGTCAACCCCCGAGAATTCCAAGTTGGTGACTTCGTCTTAAGAAAGGTTGTCGGCAACAAGAAAGACCCCAGAGAGGGCAAGCTTGGCCCGAATTGGGAGGGACCCTATAGAATCATCTCGGTCTTAGACAATGGGGATATCGGGTTGAAGACAGTGAAGGCAAAGAGTTGCCAAGACCTTGGAATACTTGCAATCTAAAGTTTTTTTTATCATTAGATTTTCTTATTTTTTAAGTTTTTTGTTATTAGCCAAAGTAATAATAAAGTTTTAGCTTGATTTTTAAACTTGTGTAGTATGACTGACCAGATACTTGACGATGTTTCTGATTGAAACATGACGAATAACTTAGACTTATTATATGGCAGAATTGAATTATACTTGCATATAATAGAGTTGAACTAAGTTAGCGATGTTTCTAAGTGAAACATGACGAATAACTTAGACTTATTATATGGCAGAGTTGCATTATCCTTGCATATAATAGAGTTGAACTAAGTTGGCGATGTTTCTGAGTGAAACATGACGAATAACTTAGACTTATTATATGGCAGAATAAAATTATACTTGTATATAATAGAGTTGAACTAAGTTGGATTAACATGGACCTGTCATATCGGCAGAATCAGGCACATATTGGAACTAAGTGCATGTTAGTCAGATTAACAAAGAGATCAAGGTTGGTAACCTCGGCCAGTCTTTGTTTGAATCTGACTTCGGCGACAAGGTCAAAGCCACATGCTTAATGAGAACCCAAGTGAAACTTAAGTTTACATTAGGGGGCAGAGGGCTGGAGAATGATGCTTGGGAGTTGGAATTTACAAGCTAAGGTTGGTTTAACACTTGTTGAAATTTTAAGAAAAGTTTACAAGTTGAAGTTAAGCTAAGGTTATGTTAAAAGAAGTTGGTTTAACACTTGTTGAAATTTTAAGAAAAATTTACAAGTTGAAATTAACCCAAGGTTATGTTGAAATAATAGAAGACAGAGGTCCTGATAAGTAAAGAGTGAAGTGGCAAGTTGTAAATAACACTTGTGAAAATATTATGATAAATATTTTCAAGTGTTAGGTCAAAGCCAAGATAAACTGTCAGTGGGTATAGCCGAAGTATTCCACATCGAGAAGATTACACAGTTAAGGTGTACGTTGAAGACACGTAAATTATTCTAAGTATAGAATCATACAAGACAGTAAAAGGAAGACAAACATTCAGTCACACTGAAAGAAGAAATAAAATGCATTCAGATAAGGAAAGAAGACAATTCGGCCTGACATTGAAGAGTAATTGTTCAGATTACAAAAGTGGCACATCGGCCAAAGTTAAGCTTACATTGTTTCAAAAGTAAGAAAAAGTACAAGGTACAAGAAATAAAAGAGAAAAATCAAACTAGACTATTCGGCGTCATTAGCTGGTTGGGTCTAGGGCTTAGAGGACATCTGGAAACTCTTCTCGGCGGCCTTCTCAGCCGCGAGCTCGACGTCGATCTCTTTAAGAGTCTGGTCGAGGCTCTTCTCAGCGATAGGCGCCTCAGATGATGTCTTCACGGCAGAGGCACCCTTTGAGACCTCGTCCTCCTCATCATGAGTCAAGTCCAGGAATTGCTCATTCAGAGTTGGGGACTTGGTCCCTGCAGCCTCGACCTTCTCGGTCTCTTTGTCCTTAGCCTCCTCCTCAGCCTCCTCCTCGGACTCAGCTTTGTCCTCAAACTGGCTTGGAGTAAGTGAGAACGGCAGGGCAAGGCTGCTAGCATTCCTGAGAGCGGAGTCCTCAGGGACAGCCAACACCTTCAGAGCAGCCATCCAACCAAGGGTATAGCCCTTGTAGCATGCCTGCCTGACTTGTTTCTTGTAATCCTCCTTGACGTCGGCTGCCCCCTCGGCGTATGCCTTTTCATCAGCCGCTTTGATCTCGATTTCTTTTGTGGCCAGGGCAGCCCGGAGCTCGTCCTAGGCTTCAGCAGTTTTCACTTGGGCCGCATTCTTTTCGGTCTCAAGGACCTTTGCAATGGCCTCTGCAGCATCTGCCTTTTCCTTAGCCTCGTCCTGAGCTTTCTTGGCTGCCTCATCCTGATCTATCAAAGCCTTCATTTTGCCCTCAGCCTTGTTAATGGCCCTCTGCAAGCCAGTAACCTCTTTGGACTTATTTGCCAACTCCTTCTTAATATTGAAGGCTTGCATTGCCAATCTTCTTGTACTTATTTGCTAAGCTCATTTTGGTTATACAAAACAACGGAAACAAAAAAAAAAAATTAAGGATTAATAAAAAAAAATTAAGTATTAATCAATAAAAAAAATGAGCTTGGATTATTCAAACCACAATACATGACCTATTTATTTGTCTAAGCCTCTAAAATGAACTAAATTATTTGAGTTGGATTCTTGTTTGACTCTTTACAAAAACATTAAAACAAAATTTCTTAAATTTTTTGAATTTAGCTCGAATTCAACTCGATAAAACTTATATATTACAAATAAATGTTATGAAAGTAGAGAGAGAAGAGAAATTGTATATTGAATTGAATAATGAAATACAAGAAGCCTATATTTATAGGCTGAGAAAAGAAGATAGAGATACATCAGAGATAAGTATAGAAAAGGAGATGAAATACATCTACAATACAGATAGATAAGTATTAAGATAATCATATATATCAAACACCACCCCTCAAGCTCAAGGTGGTAAGTCATATATCAACTTGAGTTTAGAGAGAAGATCAAAGAAGCGTCCTGAAAGATGAGCTTTGGTGAAGAGGTTAGCGGTTTGATCAGCAAAGGTAACAAAGAGAAGATGAACATGACCACTAGTAACATGTTGTCGTATGAAGTGGCAATCAATCTCAATATGCTTGGTGCAATCATGGAAGACATCGTTATGTGTAATCTGAATGGCACTCTAATTGTCATAATAAAGATTAGTGGCAGCAGAATGATAAACACCCATGTCAGAAAGAAACCAATGAAGCCACACATGCTCCTAAGTAGTGTTATCAAGAGCACGATACTCAGCCTTGGTACTAGAACAAGAAACAAGGGTTTGCTTCTTGCTACGCCAGGAAATGAGAGAGTTGCCCAAGAAGAAACAGAATCCAGTAGTGGAACGACGATTAGTAGGATCCCTTGCTTAATCAGCATCAGAAAAGGCATGCAACTGCAAAGAAGAGTGAGGGGAGTAGTTAAGACCATGAAATAGAGTTCTTTTCAGGTAACGCAAAATGTGAACCAGAGTAGCATAGTGTGGAGAGCGAGGAGCAGTCATAAATTGACTGACAATGTGAACAGCATAAGCAATATCTGGATGAGTAATTGTGAGATAGACAAGACTGCCAACTAGCTGACGATATAAAGTGGCATCAGACAATAAGGGACCGTCAAGAGGTATAAGACGAGTCTGAAGATCAACCGGAGTAGTGATAGTCTTGCAATCGGTAAGACTAACACGAGCCAAGAGATCAGAAGTATACTTGGCCTAGGTAAGAAAATAACCAGAGGAATCTTAAGAAATTTCCAAGCCAAGAAAGTAGCTAAGGGAACCCAAATCTTTCATCTCAAACTGGCGATGGAGAAACTATTTGAGACTAGAAATACCTATTGTGTCATCTCCAGTGATAATTATATCATCCACATAGAGGAGAATGAGAATAGTAGCGCGCTCTGTCTTACGGATAAACAAGGCAAAATCATGTGCACTGGAAGAAAAATCAAAGTCACGAATGGTAGAGCTAAACTTGGCAAACCAGGCACATGGAGCTTGTTTCAAACCATACAAAGCATGGTAGAGTTTGCAAACCGTGTTTGATGGAACAGAAGAACCAGAAGGGGGTTGCATATAAACTTCCTTAGTGAGATCACCATTGAGAAATGCATTCTTGGCATCCATTTGATAAAGACTCCAGTAGTGAGGAGCAGCAACGGCAAGTAAGCTGCGAACTGAAGTAAGAAGGGCAACAAGAGAAAATGTTTTCTCATAGTCAATCCCATATTCTTAACTAAATCCCTGGGCAACAAGGCGAGCTTTGTAACGCTCAATGGAACCATCAAAATGAGTTTTGATCTTGTAAACCCATTTGTAACTAACAGTATGCTTTCCAGGGGGAAGATCAACCACAACCCAGGTATGAGTTTGATCGAAAGCCTGCTGTTCATCAGTCATAGCTTGTTGCCAAAGAGGGTTAGAAGAATTTTCTCAAGAAGAAGTAGGTTCATGAGAGCAAAAAGCAGTGAAACCAACAATATAATCAAGGAGAAGAACATAAGGTTGCCGTACTCGTGTAGAATGACGCTCAGGTGGAGGAGGAACCTCAATGGGAGGTGGACATGGAGGAACCTCCACCGGAGTTGGAGAAGGTGTAGGGCCATCAGCAGACATAGGATCCTCAGGATGGACGATAGGCGTAGGCAGAGTGGGTGCATAGGGCAAGAATCTGCATCAAAGTCATCAAAAAACAGATCTATAGAAATATCAATGAAGACCAGTGAGTGGGTGGACTGTGGTAGGTGAAACTTAGAAAGAGTAGAGAACATTTTGTGTTCCTAGAAGACCACATGATGGGAAATACGAAGACGCTTGGAGATGGGATCCCAACAACGATATCCTTTATGTTCTATACCATACCCTAGAAAACAACAAAGACGAGAACGAGGTTCTAGTTTTATGTGTTCACGAGACTGAAGTAGAACAAAACAAGTAGAACCAAAAACTTTAAGAGTGGTATAGTTAGGAGGAGAACCATACAAGTGTTCGTAATGAGAAGTGTTAGCTATGACAGGGGTAGGGACACGATTGATGGTGTGGATGGCAGTGAGAGCAGCTTCCTCCCAAAAGTTCTCAGGACAAGAAGAAGAGATGAAAAGAGCCCGAGTAGTGTCTAGGATATGACGGTGTTTTCTTTCGACTCGTTCATTTTATTGGGAGGTGCCTGCACAAGAACGATAAGAGAGAGTACCATAAGCCCGAAGAAAAGAAAGAAAATCAAAATCCAAGTACTCCTTAGCATTATCAGAACGAAAAAGCTTAATAGTAAAAGAAAACTGAGTGCGAACCATAGCAAAGAAATCATAGTAAATCTGTTTAAGTTCAGAGCGATTTTTGAGAAGAAAAAACCAAGTATAGCGAGAAAAATTGTCAACAAAAATCACAAAATATCTGGACCCCCCCATGGTCGATGTGGGGGAAGGTCCCTAAATATCTGAATACACAAGATCAAAAGGAGCAATAGAAACAGAATTACTTTTATTAAAAGGTAAGACAGGTTGTTTAGTAATTTGACAAGATAAACAATCGACATCTTTAAGACAGACGCGACCTAACTGACCACTAGAAACTAAAGTTTTCAAACGACTAAAAGAGACATGTCCTAATCGACAATGCCAAAGATGAAAAGAAGACATAGTAGATGCAACAGCAACAGTAGATGATTTATGTAGACTGCGAAGATGGATAAGCTCGAACAGACGTCCATGCTTACGGCTTATCCCAAGGATCTTTCTCGTCTGAGGGTCCTGCACCGAACAACCATTAGTAGAAAAGGTAACAGTTAGACCAAGTTCACATAACTACCAACAGAGATAAGGTTCAATTAAAGAGCAAGAATATGGTAAGCATCAGAAAGAGATACAGCGGAAGTAGAGATTTGGCCAATGTGACTAACAGGCATATAAGAACCATCAGCAGTGTACATAGTGAGGGCAAAAGATGATGATGATAAAGAAGAAAATAGAGTGGAGTCAGAAGTCATGTGATTACAACATGCAAAATCAAAATACCATGAAGAGTTACCTGAGGTTACTGAAAGAGCAGTAGAGGGAGGAGTACCAGATTTGGCGAGCACCTGGTGGATAATGGACTCAACATCATCCATAGAGAAGGAAGGAGCAGAAGAACCCTTAGAGGCAACAGCAGCAGAGCGAGAGCCGTGGCCAGATTTGGACTGATACCCAGAACAAGAAGCCCCTTTCTTGGATGAAGTAATGGAGGAAGCTTGAGGACAATTGCTTTGGAGATGGTCTGGCATAGTCTTGTGACAAGTTAGACATTCGCGAACCTAATAGTGAACAAGAGAATGATTGGCTGGTAAGCCGCGGTTGCGACAATAACTACATATGAGTAACTGTGAAGATGAGAAACTCTGAGAAGATGGCATAGCAAGAACAGAATCCATGTCTTGAGATTTGAGAATCCCAAAACGAGTCTCCTCTGATAGCAGCTCAGTAACAACTTGCTCTAAAGTAGGCAAAGGCAAACGATGGAGCAAAGAAGCACACATAGGTTCAAAAGTGCTATGAAGATCCATAAGAAACTGTAATAGTCGCTGATGATTCTGATAGGTAATAAATAACTGTGCATCATCAGAATGAGCCTATGAAGGTTTAAAAAGAGCGAGCTGGTCCCAAACAGACGACATCTGGGATAAGAAGTCATTGAGAGATTGACCGGGTGCCTGGTGCATGTGATGAAGAGTCTGCAACAATTCATATTGATGAGCATAGCCAGTGGTCTGATAACATTCCTTCCAGAAATCCCAAATTGCTTTGGCAAGAGAGGTAAATGAATCATCATCCTGAAAGTGTCCAAACTAAAGGTTGATGGAAGGAATTGAGGTAGCCCGGAACCATGTGATAATTTGATAATTCTTAATTTCTCATTTGTTAAGATGGCCATCGAAGGCAGAGTCAGTCTCATTCTCCTTTTGGTTGGATTTGAAAAGAGCACCAGTAATGATCCGCCAAAGGCGTTTGCCTTTGATGAAGCTAGAGAGAGCTTGGGCCCAACTAACATAATTGGACCCATCCACGATAACAGAAACAGATTGAATGTTCTCACTATGATCCATAATTACCAAAATGGAGGTCACCAACAGAATTAGAAGGCTGAAAAACCTTAGGGACAAGTAGGGCTGATGTCAGCACTGTGGCTGTGATGATGTTAGCAAAGAGACCATAACTGAGTAGGGTTGACGTCAGCAACTAAGGATGAAGGAAAATGGCTGAGGAAGCCGGGCGGAAGCCGAGGCAGGGGCACGTGGCTAAGAGAAGCCGGGTAGAAACTGAGGCAGGGGCACACGGCTAGGAGAAGCTGGGCAAAAGCCAATGGGGATTCAGCGGATGCGGAAGTCGATGGCGGCTGATGTGGAAGCCGACGGGCAAGCCGAGGTCGGATTGGCTGAGACGGAAGCCGAGGGAAGCTAGCTGAGACGTATGCGGAAGCGTGCTGAGAGTGGAAGCGACGTAAACCGACGAGCTTCTCTTTAGGAGGCGTGTGAAAGCACGTGGAAAGGCCAATTGAGGTGAATCTTGTGGCATGGGCTCCGTCATGAAGAGACGAAGAGGGAGGTATAAGCCAAACGTTGAAACAAGAATGGACTAGATACCCAGAAACCAGCAGAAACCGATAGAGGATAGAAGCAATAGGCAGGGGAAAAAAAAGAAAAATGAGAGAAAAAAAAGTTAGGAGAGAACCCTAGGCTCTGGTACCATGTTATGAAAGTAGACAGAGAAAAGAAACTGTATATTGAATTGAATAATGAAATACAAGAAGCCTGTATTTATAGCTGAGAAAAGAAGACAGAGATACATCAAAGATAAGTGTAGAAAAGGATATGAGATACATCTACAATACAGATAGATAAGTATTAAAATAATCATATATATCTAACAATAAAAAAACCCCAGTTACTCCTACTCAAGTTGTGATCAACTCTATTCAGCAAATAAAACTCAAACAACTTACTCAGTTCATTTACAATCAGGATGATCAATCAATCAAAAGAAAACTTGTTTAATTTTATTTTTTTTTTTACAAATACTTGGTTGAAGTCATCAGATTAAAAATATATATATAGGAAAATTATCCATAAATCTCATCTTGAGGAATAGTGATCCGTTTAGTCTCAAGGATTTTATTATAGACCAATTAGTCTCATTGATTTTAGAAAAGTGGATTTAATATATTATTTGAAAATTAAGTTTACGGTTATGTCTTCATTTCTAAGGTGCAGCACTAATAAATCCCAAAATGTGATCTTGTGAATTATTTAATCCTTCATTTTTTTCTTATGAATCCAAAGGTCCTATTAAGGTAGAAATTACACAAAAGGATAATCACTTACATGTTTGGGTTTAATTTTTTAAGGATAAAAATGGGTTTCTCCAAATGTAAAATTACACATTTGGACAATTCGTATTATAGAGGTTTTGGATTTTCCCTCCTCGTGGAACAAATCCCACATTACGAACAAAAACGTAACACTTCACTGTAACATTCTAATAATGTAACACTCCAATGTAACACATTAAAAAACTCATTGGTGTACGTTTCCTGAACGTAACAACATAACACTTCAAAAAAGCTCCTTAGTGTATTTTTTCCAAACGTAACACTCTAATGTAATAAAAAAAAAAAAACTCCTTAATATACTTTTTCCAAATGTAACATTCCAATCCATGTAATCCTAAATGTAATACTCCAATGTAACATATAAAAAAAATACTAAAAACTATCTAATGTACTTTTTCCAAATGTAATACTCACAGTTTGAAAATTATACAATTACCCAAAGCTTACTAACGAATTTTTGTACTACTTTTTTTTTTTTGAGTATTTCATTAGCATGTTGCGTTTGGGAACACTAATGATTTTTTTTTTTTGTGTTACATTGGAGTATTACACCAATGAGTTTATTTGAAGTGTTTTATTGGAGTATTACGTTTGAGAAAAGTATATTAAGGATTTGTTTTTGAAGTGTTACATTAGAGTGTTACATTTGAGTGTTACAGTTTAAAATTATACATTTGGCCAAAGCTCACTAAAGAGTTTTTGTACTTCTTTTGAAATGTTTGAAGAATTCCACATCCTTTTAGAATGTTTGAAAGATTCCATATTTCAAGTCATTTGTATACTCATTTTGAAATATTTTTCAAACAAAAAAGATTCTCATATAAAAATTAATCTCAAATTTAATTCACATAGGTTGTGTACCTTACTTTTTTTAGCACAAAAAGAAAAAAGAAAGACAACATAATAAAAATAAAAGTATAACCATAAATTCAATTTTTAAATAATATATTAAATCTACATTTTGAAAATAAATGGGACTAATTGGTCTATAAAAAAATTATTGGGACTAAATGGATCATCATTCCCCAAGATGGGAT